TTGACATCGATTTTTTTTACATAGAATTGTGTAAGAAAATTCATGGTTTTCTTTTTTGCTAAGATTTTGCTGTGTTTTAGCTTTAAGAAATGTGTAGAAAACGAGAATTTCTTTTTTCTTTCTTTCTTTTTTTTTTTTACAAATGTATTTTATTTTCTTCCCTCACCATTTATCGCCCCTGTACCCTCTTCCACCTCCAGGCACCTCTATCTCCCCGCCCCATCACCACACTACTGTCTGTGTTCACATTTCTCATAGAAAGTCATTTCTCACAAACTGTTTTGAAAGCTAAAACCGAGAAAATCTTAGCAAAAATAAAAAGGAATTTCTTTCTATAATGATATACCCCTAGAAATCATCGTTGTAAGTGGTNATTTCTCACAAACTGTTTTGAAAGCTAAAACCGAGAAAATCTTAGCAAAAATAAAAAGGAATTTCTTTCTATAATGATATACCCCTAGAAATCATCAGTGTAAGTGGCTGCATGGACTGAAATATAAGCTGGTTCGCAAATAGTTTAACCTACACGATAAACATCTGAGGTTTGAGTGACACTGCTGATACAACAGGTGCGAGGCTCACGTGTCTATCCCACCAGTCTCTCGGTGCAACTTGCCCTCTCATTTACACTTATGCTTTGTATCCTGGAGTATGTAGGAAGCTTCCCGGTGTCTGTCTGGACACAGGGACCCAAATGGCATTGGGTTGGGACAGGGGCGTGTGGGGGAAATGGGAGCTATGGCAGAATCTGAAAATCCAAGTTACATTTATTTCCCAAAAAGGTCTGAAGAAAGAGTTTCAGGTAAACATTTAACATCGACTCAGTGCAGGAAATGCAGATCCCAAGAGTTGTGCTCCTGAAAGCCTGAGCATGGAGCTAATAATATCTGAAATATACTACATTTTGCACAAATATGTAAGTATCTCATAATTTAGGGCTTGTGTTAGACTATGTTGAATTTTAAAGTAAGCCATTTAATTGCTCTGAGCTGTATTATAAAATAATAAAACTTACCTTTCTTGAATTTCTGATTAAATATAAATAACATACTAAATAGGAATTAAAACACAGTCCTGGCTCACAGGAAATGGTTGTTAAATGTTAATTCCTTCCTCTTTTAAATGTTCAGGGATATATAACAAGTCAAATGTGTATTTTAATATGTGTCCCCTTGAAAGTATACTCATGGTATATAAATGAAGAAGCAGGATTCTGAAATGTACATCAAATATGCTCTTCATCATGTTACAATATTTATGAAATAAAGAGTAAATAAATCTTTGTTTTTTCCTATTTCAAAATTATAATGAGCATGTTTTTTATCGGCAAAATCAACAGATGGTATTGAAAATTACCCACTGTCGTGCACAGATTCTGAATGTGATAGAACATGACCTTAAAGGAGCCAAGAGTCAAAAAAGATACAGGAAAGGAAAAGAAACGGGGCGCGTACTGCACCTCGGACCACACTCCCGCCTCCCACACGGTCATGCAGTCCTGGCCCTCGCAGCGCTGGGCAGAGGCCGGCTTGGGCCCAGCGCAGTCCCTCTCCCGGGCCCTGGTCAGGGTTCCATTGCTCAGCTGCTGGGTGCACGCCACTTGTCTGCTCTGCATCCCTTTTCCACAAGTTCGTGAACATGGGGTCCATTCTGTCATCATCCATCTAAAAGTAAAACAAGAGTCGCTAAAAACGATTAAAAGATAGCTACCATTTCTAATGAATCGGGACCTCCCCAGAGGGCTCCTAATTTAAACACCACTCCAAATTGATTTCAGGAATGAATGTGTTTCATAAAATTTGGTATTTGCACAATTCCTGTCAATAAAACCCTCTCTGCCTTTCCCATTATTGGGACAACCTTATAGTGGGATCTGAGTCCCCCGCTTAATTGTCTGCACAATAGTACTTAGAAGCACAGAGCAGAGCACTCAGAAGCCTGAGCTTAATTCTGGGTTCCTTACTAGCTGTGCACATTCTTAAAACAATACCTAACAGCTGTTAAGTTTCTACTTTCTCAGTTGTAAAGGAGTTTGTTAGGCTGACATGCAATGGGTACTCAGCATGTAGTATGTACTATCTATATTACAGTATATTTATAAATGATAAACTTATTCATAAATTTCTCGTGCTCCATTGCCCACTTGTTTAGAAAATCAGCCATATGCTCCCATATACTCGACTTGTTCCCCAAACACTTTCTATTTTCACCTCATGGCACTTGTCTCTGGGTCATCTGCTGCTGCTGCTGCGATCCTTGACAGTCCCTTCCTCCTAGCAGAGCTCCTCCATCCAACCCACAGGGATTGTGTTCCCCTTGCCCTCTGTCACCTGGCTTGTGGCACTCACACGACACACGTGATTCTCTAGGGAAGTGGAGGGGCTCAAAGGCTACCTACAGAATGTGACCTTCTTTCGCTGATGAGTATTTAATCTCTTCAAAGGCAGGGGTCGGTGCCTATTCTTTGCATCCGTAACACTTTTCATAAATAGCTTTGCATTAAATATTTCTCAAAACAGAATTTATGTTTCTCTCCCTGTTTTGTAGAAACAGCTTCAATTCTTCCAAATTTACCTAAACCCATATATTCCTTTTCTTTTTCCTGTTAATCTTCACCCAAAGATATTTTTTTTCATTGAATTTTAGCGAGAGTGGAAGGGAGGGAGGGAAGTAGGGGAGAGGGGGAGAGAGAGAGACTGATTGGTTACTCCCCGCACACACCCTGACCACAGACACATGCCCTTGACTGGGACTCGAACCCTAGAACCTTTGGTGCATGGGCTGATGTTCTAACCACTGAGCAACACCAGCCAGGGCAAGCCCATATGTTCTTAACAGTGAGACAAAGAGATGTTAATCCTCTTACAGCCTAGCTTTCTCATCTGTACAATGGTTTAATTCTAAATGATTCTATGCCTCTGTTTCTGAAAAACAAAAACACACAACTCATGATAACATTTGCATCCAGTATCACCTCTAGTAAGGTTCTTATCTGCTGGCCTATTAAGTATGATACAGACCTACCATCTTGCTTTGGAAGTTCCTAGTGGGTTTTTCCTAAAGGGAGTATTTATCATCCCATTTCCTTCAGTTTCTGCTTCATCTTTCTGCACAAGGATACACAGGCTATAAGCACAACAATTAAAATCCATCCATTTCCCTTTTTCTCCAACTATGGAATCCAGAACACTTGAAAAAGAGAAGTATTTGCAAGTTTATGGAATCTCATTTTTAAAAATAAAATTATTTTGGGGATCATTAAGATAATGATAAAAAGTTATTTTTCCCATTCCTTATGCAAACTGCTCAAAAATTAGAACACATAAAATGTGTTGTAATGACAGGAAACATTTTGTATTTTAGGATCCATCTAATTTGGAATTATTCCATTTTCTTATCTTTAAGATTCTTTCTTACAAAGCTATTTACTAGAACATTAATATATTTTATATTTGGCACATAGGGTTCCATCAGACCTTTGGTGACTTTTTCAATAAATATAAATGGAAATTAGAATGTTTCTTACTAGGGTGGGGCAAAAGAAGAGGCAGGAGAGATGAAGGTTTTGCAATGCCAGTAAGTCTTGGAAAGTTTTCCTGTGATGACCCCTATTAATCACCCAGGTCCATTCTTACTTCCCAATACTTTGGTTAACCCCATCGATACCGCTTCTCGGTGGTGCAAAACATACTGCCTCCTTTTCCAAGAGAAGGAAAATACTGATTTCTAACAAAAGGACTTCCAGTTTCTAGCTGCAAAAACCCCTCACTCAGAAATGGACTGACCTTTTAAAACTATTCATTTTACCAAGTCATGATCAAGTCATTTTCCCCCAGGATAGCCGAGGTCAGTGAGTGAACACAAGTGGAACGCGTGTACACTCTGGTCCTCCAGTGACCAGGCGAGGAAGGAACAAATACCCTCCCGTTCTCCAGCCAGCTCAGTCAAGATTCCTAATACAGGAGAAAAGGCCACCGCTCTTTCATCCGCACGGGAAAGGTGGATGGTATAGAAAACTAATGGTGTTTCGAAATATTTTAATAAATCACTTAACGCAAGATAAATAGCATTTTAATACCGATTAAAAAGAAGTAAAGAGAAAGATAATTCTTAGGAGTAATAACAAAAAAATAACCATGTTCTTTAGCTGTCAAAAAAAAGGCCCCAAACTCTCCTGTATCTGTCCAGCACTGATTGCAAAGGCCCCAAAGATATGACTGTAGGTAACAACAATTCCTTAAGTCGCCCTTCCTGTTGACTACTACTCTGTCTTATTAAAAAACTTAATTAATCCAGCTCCTTATGGGGCTGGGCTCAAAAGCATACAGCCAGGCAGGGCCATAACATTATGGAAAGTATTGCAATGTATTTTTGCCTTTTGCCTACCATTCTTTAGAAGCATATTTCTCTCCTAGGGGAGGGGTAAGAGTGCGAGAGCACAAATTCAAAGCGAAGGGAAGGTTGATCATCAGCTTTCGACACCTTAAATATACAGAATCTACAAGAAAGCAAGTCTGGAAATTTCAGCTTTGTAGAGGAAAGAAGGATTTTTGAAATTCTCTTAAGCTCTCATTAACGTAGCATAAGCCAGATCTGCGGGGCTTAATAACAGTTTTGCAATAGGCAGAACTCAAGGGAACTCAGGATGCAGAGCATCAGAAAGGTTGAGGCCGGGGTGGGGGAGGGGGTACGGGAACCAGAAGAACTGAGCACTAGCCTGACCACACTAATTCCCAGAGGCTGAGGAAGAAAGAAAAGCCTAAAAGGAGTTCACAGGCAACTTTGCTCCTCCCCCCTTCTCTGCCCATGCTGACTCACTGTGGTGGAGGGTCATGAAGACTTCATTAGTGACGGATCCCGACAAAGCTACAAATTCGTTGTGTATCTGAGTTGCAGGGTGTGTGAGTTCACTGACTCCACTGCAGACATGATAGTCAGGAGACCAATTCTCTGCTTGACTCCCTAAGAACTCACACCTACACCCTAACTCACTGAGCCTCATCAAACCTGAGTGTCAGGAGAGAAATGTCCCTGTCCCCGTATTCTAGAGGAATCAATCCAGCCTCACACTCTTTTTGTCATTCCATCCCTAAAAGTTCTGAGGACTTTTGACACTGGGGCTTAGTCTCACTCAAGCCCAACATCGTTTTACATGAAGCGCATGGGTTTTCAGGAGCCCTGTGATGGAGACAAGGCCAACAGCCTTGTTGCCAGCCTAATCCCAAATTGTACCAAGGTTCCACCCATACCTCTCTGCTAGTTACTAGGCATGACTTTTTTCTACACCACTCTCACCTACTCATGAATTTCTTGCCTGCTTTGCTGCCTCGTACTCCTGGGGGAAGTCACAGAGGACCAAAGCAACCAAACTGTCCAGTAACTAGGACCCAGGTGAGGAATCTGGTGACCAGAGATCAGGAGTCAGGCAATTTGCCTTGAGAACTCTGGAGAAGGAAGTGAGGGTCCAGCTGGGGAGCCAGGAGGACCACACAGTCCCCATGGTTGAGCAGGGGACTGGGTCCTGGCCTGGCCTGCTTTGGTTTTACATCACCCTAGGCAAGTTCTAACACACCATTTCAAAGAATTCAGGAATGAATAGCTACATTTAACACAATAACCAGAATTTTGAAATGGTGACCAATAGGTGACCCAGTAATTTTAATGACCCCC